ATTTTGTTGGTCGATTGGAAAGCGACCACTCCTAAGGCCTGAAGGAAATTGGGAAGGTGATGCTGACATAGAAAAGATGAAGTAGATTTTTAGGAGGTAAAGGCTTGGAATCGGTTGCTGTGGCGGGCTAAAATTTTGGCGTTATTTTAAACTTCAGTTGAAGTTTGAACAATTTTAAGAACGATGACGACATACCCCGTGGTGTGAATTTCTGGGGAAACTGAGGGGTTAATCTTGTGATTATGTTCATTTTGGCTGCTGTTGTGGTGGAGATGGATGCATATTTCATTACCTGCCGAGAGATGTCGTTCTACCAGTAACATTTGTCTTTGTCACTTTGAATAGGATCATGTCGTGTGTGTAAAGTGTTCGGAGTATTTGAACATGGGAACGAGGATGTAGACAGGACCTTGTGTGTGTGTGTGTGTGTGTTCTCTATTTACATCGGGGGTTTGGGTTTGCTTGGCTGCATCCCAAGGGAAACTAAAACTTGTGCAACAGTATCCTTGTCTTTGTTTCCAAACTTCTGATGCCACTACGTTTGCTCAGTATTTAAGGCATGTTGTAATTTTATCATCTATCGATCGTCTTTTTATGTAACCATGATGTCTGCGTCGACAGAGTCGGTCAGCCTTGTCACATTATACCGTTTTGTCCAGTGACTTCGACGCCAGTAGAAAAGCATTTCCCTAACGTCTGATTCTACAAACTTCATTTGAAAATATAGTGGCACCGATGTCGGTGGCCGAGCGGTCTAAGGTGTGGACCTTGACTGTATGAACATTTGGATCGTGGGTTTGAATTCCATTGGAGGCATGGATATGTGCCAATATTTTCTGTGTTATTCTGCAGGTAAATTAGAGATCTGGCTGTCCATCCAATTTGTCGTACCAAATGTCTAAGAAGAATTAATTTTTTTCAAAAGTAATTTCGATTGGAACAGGCCATGAGGCTTAATTCGTACAAGCTGTAAGAAGTAGCAGCCTGTTTAGTATCAGATACCAGCCTATTGGCATTCACGTTAGTCTATTCATTACATAACATTATGGCGTTTCATTGGTTTTCTTTTGCGCTTATTCACGGAGGAAATTCTTGTTGATAACATATAAAATGAAATTTTAATTTTGCTTGCAATAAGTATTACTAAAATGTGTCCAGAGATTTCCACCTCTAGTGTGCAAGGCAATGCTTCGCCGTTGGGCAGCGGGACTGTCCAGTGGCTCCATGTTTTAAGTACAGCAGCAGATAGGTACAACTCATTTAAAGTAAACGTTGCAGTGTCTCGTGAAGTAATAACTTGTAGACTGGACATGTCGAGAGAAGCAGGGCTCAATGTTCAAGCTGCATTTGGTTGCTGTCGGCCGTGTTCTTTCTGGCTGGTATGGCGAAAACTTCCCATAAGGAACAAAAGCGCAGTATAACTTATGGGGAAAGTCAGCGCCATTCGAACTTAGTTTGTTTTGAAATACGGGAACTGAAATCCTTCATTAAATTTGGTAACCTCGTGAAAAGTGGATTGTGAAATCGTGCTTAAAAATCTCATCACACAAGCGTCTGTGCAAAGAGATTCGTGGCCTGGACCCGCATGGAATTGACCCGGGATGATTTCCGGTAATAAATGAATCCCGTTTGTTAATTAAACCTTATAATTGGTTTACTGGACGTATTCGTGCCCTGCGATACTTTTATCATCGTCATCTCTCGGAGTGCTTACTGGTTTGTGATTCTTAGGAGCGTC